AGAGGGGCACCACCCCCGATCCAGAGGGGCACCAGTCCCATCAGCCCCTGATCCAGAGGGGCACCAGCCCCAGCCACTGATCTAGAGGGGCACCACCCCTGATCCAGGGGGGCACCAGTCCTACCATCCCCCAATCCAGAGGGGCACCAGTCCCATCAGCCCCTGATCCAGAGGGGCACCAGCCCTTGATCCAGAGGGGCACCAGCCCCAGCCACTGATCTAGAGGGGCACCAGTCCTACCATTCCCCCAATCCAGAGGGGCACCAGTCCCATCAGCCCCTGATCCAGAGGGGCACCAGTCACTGATCTAGAGGGGCACCACCCCTGATCCAGGGGGGCACCAGTCCTACCATCCCCCAATCCAGAGGGGCTCCAGTCCCACCAGCCCCTGATCCAGAAGGGCACCACCCCCACCAGCCACTGATCCAGAGGGGCACCAGCCCCTGATCCGGAAGGGCACCACTCCCATCAGCCTCTGATCTAGAGGGGCACCAGTCCCACCAGCCCCTGATCTAGAGGGGCACCAGTCCCACCAGCCCCTGCTCTGAAGGGCACAAGCCCCTGATCCAGGGGGGCACCAGTCCCACCAGCCCCTGATCCAGGGGTCACCAGCCCCACCAGCCCCTGATCTGAAGGGCACCAGCCCCTGATCCAGGGGTCACCAGCCCCACCAGCCCCTGATCCAGAGGGGCACCAGCCGCTGATCCAGAGGGGCACCAGCCCCCACCAGCCCCTGATCCAGAGGGGCACCAGCCCCACCAGCCCCACCAGCCCCTGATCCAGAGGGAACCCTCCTAACCAAAGCAGATTCCCTCCTACCCATGAAAGTCGCCCACCATTCTCTTTCAATGTGATAGTTAAACACGAACTGAGAACAAGAGTCCGCACTGACCAGACCAAGTGCAGAGAGGGGGACCAGGCCAGTGCTCAGTCTGCTCCAGGCGGCTGACAGACTGAGGCCGCACGAACTAGAACCTTCCAGCGCCGCCATGGCGGTCAGCGCGGGGCAAGGCGCCTGCGCAGAAATCACCAGTCGGTGGTACTGAGGAACGTGCACAGCGGGATGTGTGTAAATGAAATAGTTCCCCAGATTTGTCCCGATGAACTTTTTTTAAAAATTACAACAATTATTTTCAGTCTTAGTTACATTCTAGAACTAAACGGATGGGAAGGGAAATTAATAAATTAGATGTTGCCATGACAGCAAGCTGTCACAGGGAATTGGTCACAGGTTCTATCTTCTGTCTCAAATTGATGACGTAAGGACAGATAAGCGGTTTCTCTTGTTACTTGGGAAACCAGGAAAGTTACCATGTCCCAGCAAGGGGCCGCGCTACAGAGTTACAACAATGAGCTGGTGAAATGTGAGCTGGGGGCTCCCGGGGGGGAATGGGGGGGGGGAGCGGGGGGGGTGGGAGAGATGGGGGTCCGGAGCCAAGGTGCTGGGGTATTGATGGGAGAGGGGTCTGGGGAGGGATCGAGTTGCCAGGAGGCTGGGGGAATGGTATCAGGGACCTTGGGGAGGGTTGCGGTTGGGGACCTGGGTAAAGGAGAGGAGAGGGCCAGAGAGCTCGGGGGAAGGGTGGCGAGGGTTCGGGAGATTGGGGATGGGAGGTGAATGATTTTGGGGAGTTGCAGAGGAAGGGGAGGAGAAATCTCGGGGAGGGGGTGGGGATTTGTGGGGAGGGAAAGTAGAGTTCAGGAAGCTGGGGTATGTGGGATAAGAGAGAGGAGATGTTTCTGTGGAGTGAGTAGAAAGGTATGGGTGTTGCATGGGACAGAGAGGGAGTGGACACAGGGTGATGGGGAGAGTTAAGAGGAGGTAGATTGGGGGATGGGGACGGTGGTGGCCCTGGGGAGGAATGGTGCAGGGGATGAGTTGTGAATAGGAGAATCTGAAGTGAAATGAGAGATGGTAGGAAGCAGAGCGTGTGAGGTTGTGTTGTAAGGGACTGAACGGATAGCTGTGTTGGAGTTTTGGAACTGGAGTGCAGGTCTTTGAGGGGCGTGGAGGATGTGCAGAATGATAGATTGCCTAATTGTACCATCTTCTTGGCTTTTTGATTTTTAAATGTTAAAATAATTTAAATTTGTATTTTGAGAACTTTGAGTAATTGATAGATGACACACAGCTGTACCCAAGCACCACCTGTCATCCCCTGCTCTCTTCCTGATTTGACATGCTGACTGCCAATCATCCAGTACTGGATGAACTGACGTTTCTTCTAATGAAATATTGGGAACATCAAAGCTATTGTTCACATTCCTTGTTGACTCCATCTTCTTCCCTGACTAAAGATTGTTCAGACATCCTAAAAGTGAATCTGTGCCAGTGCGAAGCAGGATTGTAGGCTGCATGTCCCAATGACTGATGGACTGTATCAAACAACATATCCTATTGACCATTCAGAGCAGTGTACTTATGCTGAAAGAAGTCAGGAAGTTCTTCTTGTTGACCAACCTGAGAAATGGAAGATGAGGGTTGATTCATCATCTAGGGTACCTTGACCTTATTGCTTGTGCCTCCATTCAAGTCCACCAGCTTATTTCACGTCTAACTGGCTGCGTATTCATTTTGGCACCAATAGAAATTTCATCCCCAGAAAACTAACTAAAATGTAGAACAATATAACATAGTCATACAGTTGTCCAGCACAGAAACAGACCTTTCGGGCCAACTTGACAATTCTGATCAGATATCCTAAATTAATCTAGCCCCATTTGCCACCACTCTACCTTCATCAATCTTCTTTGTCACTTCTAAAAACTCAATTAAGTTAGTGAGACACAATTTCCCAAGCATAAAGCCATGTTGACTATCCCTAATCAGTCCATGCCTTTCCAGAAACATGTAAATCTTGTCCCTCAGAATCCCCTCCAACTTACCCACCACTGATGTCAAGCTCACCGGTCTCTAGTTCCCTGCTTTTTCCTTCCCACCTTTCTTAAATAATGGCATCACATTAGCTATCCTGCAGTCTTCCAGCAGCTCACTCGTGGCTATCGATGATACAAATAACTCAGCAAGGGCCCAGCAGTCACTTCCCTAGCTTTCTACAAAGTCTGGGACAGTTTGCAGAAGGTGGCCATTTAGCCTATTGAGTTAGATCGTGACTGAACTGCCTGTCAATATTATACCATTTCCCTTAATACATAGCCACATGAATAAAACAGTGTTTTATATCTTTTGCTCTGACAGCATTTCATTATTCCAGGTATCGAGGATTTGTGTACAAAACGAGAAGAGCTGAACCAACAAATCCTACAAGAAGAGGAAGAGAAGAACAAGTTGCAGAACGATATTCGCATTTTGACAGAGAAACTTGCCAAAGTCAATGAAAGTCTGGCACGCAAAATGGCAACCCGAAATGAATTTGATAGAACTATTGCAGAGACTGAAGCTGCTTATATGAAGGTTAGTTAAAAAGGTCACACAAGAAGTTGCATCCATTAGATTGAATTTCCCCTAAAGATTCATGTAAACTCTCCCTGAAAGCTGACTGAGGCTGGACGAAACTTCTCAAAGGAATGAGAAATTTCTGCCATTTAGCAGAATTCCAGAAACGGAGGATCAAAAGTGGGCCATTCAACCCACCAAGACTATTCCACCATTCAATGAGATCATAGCTGATCTGATAATCCTCAACTCCATTCTGCCTCTCCCATAACCCTTGATACTTCTTACTGATTAAAAACCTGCCCATCTTGGTCTTGAATGTCCTTAATGACCTAGCTTATAGAGCCCTCCATGGTAAAGAATTCTACAGATTCACTGAGAGAAAAAATTCCTATATTTTAAGTGGCCGACCACGAACTCTGGTTATGATTATGCCCTCTGGTCCTAGATTGGGAAAAAAACTCTTAGCATTAATGCAGTCAATCCCCTAAGAATCTTGTATTTGAATAAGTTTGCCTGTCATTCTTGTAAACTCCGTGAACACAAGCCTGTCCTACTCAACTATTCCTCATAAGATTTCTCCATACCCAAAAACAATCTAGTGAACCTTATTTGGACTGCCTTCAATGCCAGTATCTTTCCCTAGATAAGGCAGGGGGTGGGGGGCTGCTAAATACTGTTCAGTTTTCCAGGTGTGTTCTGACTAGTGCCTTATACTTTTAGCAAGACCTCCCTACTATTATACTCCTTTCTGTTTGAAATAAAGGCTGACATTCCACTTTAAAACCGAAAGAACTGCAGATGTTGTAAATTGGGAATGAAAACAGAAGTTGCTGGAATCTCAGCAGGTTTGGCAGCACCTGTGAAGAAAAAAAATCAGAGTTAATGTTTTGGGTCCAGTGACCCTTCCTCAGAACTGATGGTAGCTGGGAAACTGTCGGTTTATGTGCAGAAAATAGGGAGAGGGATGGGGTAGGGAGTAGATAGGGAAGTTAGGATGGGATAGAGTCCAAAGAGAGAGAAGAGCAGTTGAACAGACAAAGGAGTTGATAACTATCTAGCTAAGAGGGTGAATAGTTGTTGATAGGGATTGTTAGTGACTAACAATAGGTAGTGTGTAATGGCAGGCTATGTTATAAAAAGGCCTGGTGTGTGGGGTGTGGGGTAGGGGGGCTGGGACATGGGAGAGTTTAAGCCCTAAAATTATTGAACTCTATATAGAGCCCAGAGGGCTGCAGGATCCCCAAGCGGAAAATGAGGTGTTGTTCTTCCAGCTTGGATTGAGCTCTGCAGCAAGCCAGAGACAGATGTTGGCCAGGGAACAGGGTGGTGTGTTAGTGGCAGGCAACAAATAGCTCAAGATCTTTTTTGCGAGCAGAACACAGATGTTCTGCGAAGCGGTTACCCAGTCTAGCTTCATTTTGCCCATGTAAAGGAGACCACATTGTTAGTAGCGAATGCAGTAGACTAGATTCTAGGAAGCACAGGTGAAGTGCTGCTTCATCTGGAAGGTATGATTGGGTCCTGGGATAGTGAGGAGGGAGGAGGTGAATGGGCAGGTGTTGCACCTTCACCGGTTGCGGGGTGAAGGAAGAAGTGGACCAGGGAGTCCCAGAGGGAATAGTCCCTGAGGAAGATGGACAAGGGGCAGGAGAGGTGGAATATCTCGCTGGAGGTAGCGGAAATTTGTGTCTGATGATCTTTTGGATGTGCATGCTGGTGGGATGGTAGTAAGGATAAGGGGAACCCTATCACTGTTGCAGGAGGGAAGAGGAGGGGTAAGTGCGGGAGTTGGGTCGGACCGGTTACGGGCCCTGTTGACAATGGTGCTGGGGAGTCCTTGGTTGAGGAAGAAGGTGGACATTTCGGAGGCTCCCTTGTCAAAGTTGGCCTCATCTGAACATTCGCGACAGACAGAGGAACTGAGAGGATGTGAGTCTGTACGGTCCAGACTATACACCCTCCCCCTGCTTCCTGTAAAGACACCATCCCATCCTCCCAGTTCCTCCATCTCGGTCACATATGTTCAGATGAGGCCAACTTTGACAAGGAAGCCTCCGAAATGTCCACCTTCTTCCTCAACCAAGGACTCCCAGCTCTGTTGTCAACAGGGCCCGTAACCGGTCCGACCCATCTCCCACACTTCCGCCCTCACCCCTTCTCTTCCCTCCCGCAACAGCGATAGAGTTCTTCTTGTCCTTACCTACCATCCCACCATTATCCATGTCCAGAAGATCATCAGATGCCATTCCTCTGTTGTAGGTTTCTGCAGTCTTTCTCCATTTAAATAACGTTCAGCTCCTCAAATCTTACTACAGAGTATAACCTCAGATTTCCCCACATTATATTCCATTTTTTTAACCCACTTACTTAACCTGTCTACATCTTCTGTAGACTCTTGATATCATCTTCATTCCTTGCCTTCCCACTTATTTTTGTTATCCTTAAAGCTGGCAATAACTCATTCCCTTCTCTCATCAGACTCATTTAATACATATTGTAAATAATTGTGGTCCCGGCACTCAATTCTGCAGCACTCCACTAGTTTACAGGTTGCCATCCTGAAAATGCTCCTCCAAAATTCTTTTGGAACGCCAAATACATCTACTGGTTCTCATTTATCAATACTGCTTCCAATCTCAAAAACTCTAATAAATTTGTCAGGTGTGTTTCCTATTCACGAAGCTATGCTAACTCTGATTAGTTTGTGTTTCTAACTGCTCTGGTGTTAAATCATTTATAATAGACTTTTGACGTTTTCCCAATGGTGGATGTTAAGCCATAGTCACCTGTTTTTTTTTTTCGTCTTATTCCATTTTTGGATAAAGGGTATTGCATTGGGAGTTTTCTAATCGTTCAGATCTTTTCCAGAATCTAAGAATTGCTGGAATATTATTACCAGTGCACCCACAATCTCTGAAGCTAATTCCTTTAAAATCTTGGGATGTGACCTGTCAGGTTCTGGGGACTTATAGGTCTTTTAACCTATTAATTTCTTTAGTACTTTCCAGTAGCTATTGTGTTTATTCACTCTTAGCCTGTGGATTTTTTTTAGTCAATTTGGAATGTTATGAGCATCCTCTACCATGAAGATTGACGTTAAGTATTTATTCAACTCCTCCCACTTTCCTGATTTTCCCCATTATTATTTCCCTACTTTTGTTTTCTGTTTACTTTGGTCTCTGTCTTGCTTTTCATATATCTATTTCTGACTTTGGAATAACAGAATTCCGTTTTAGGTTTTGTTCTCACCTGCACCTGGCTTGGTGGATCTGTGACTCCAGATTCTTTAGTCCTCTGCAAATGCTAATCTGACTTGGACTCCTTTTGTGTGATTGGGAGATGTAGAGGCTAATGTACTCCCTCCAAGACCACTACATCCTTCCTAAGGTGTGGTGCCCAAATCTGCTCACAGGACTCCAAGTGCGGCCTGACCAAGGTTTTGTATAATTACAGCATAACTCCTATATCCTTGTACTCCAATCGTGTGGTATAAAGGCCAGCATTCCATTAGCTTTCTTGATTTTCTGCATCTGTTTTAATGGTCTATGCACCAGAAGCCCAAGTCTCTTTTGACATCCAATGTACTTGCATTCATACCATCTAGAAAGTACCCTGATTGATCCTTTCATGGTCCAAAATGGATAATCTCACACTTACATTGAACTCCATCTGCCACAGCTTTGCCCATTCACTTAATCTATCAATATCCCTTTGTAATTTGATGCTTTCATCTACACTGTCTAACTTAGTGACCAGGTCACCATTAATGACACTAGCTTTTTATTCCAGATTTACTTAATTAATTTTAACTTCCATAATTATGTTGGGATTTGAACTCTTGTCCCCAAATGTATTAGTTCAAGCCTTTAAATTATTGGTCCAGTAGTAACTGCTATTCAAGTTTAAAAAAAGAATTACTTTTCACATGAAGAACCAACATCCAAGATCAATATTTCAAGTATATTTCAAAAAATTTATTGAAAGATGTTTTTAAGATCTTTAGTTTCAAGAGGATTAGTCTTTACTCAAGTCCTGAGCCCCAGCACATCTAATTTTTCTTGTAATATTGAGTTATGTCACAGCCTGCTTTCACGTTTTCTAATTAATGAAATCCTACGATTCGAAAACATCACATTTATGGCAGCACAAGGGCTGGGTGATGGATCAGAAATTAACATTACTGGAAAGGACACACAATGTTTCAAACAACCAGTAACTTTGCAAGCCCTCCCAATACAGGAGGCAGTAAGTGTTAGTCACGCTTAACTGGGAATCGGACCAGCAGAATTGTCCTGTTGGTAACTTGAAGCTTCAGAATGCAGTACTGTATCTACAGAGGGCTATGGGTACAAGTAGTCTGAAGAGGAAGGTCATTTTGACAACGTCCCATCTGCCATCTGTTCTTGGCTTGACGCTCATGAGTTTTATTTCCTCCAAACTTCCTTAGGAGTGGATGAGCTAGAAACTCTCTTGACCCTGGGAAATCATACACATAGTCACTGAAGTTTGAAGTAAACATGGTGTTCGCAACTTTGTCAATGTACAGTACATTCCAGATTGTTGTGACCATGCAAGTATGCATCTTAATGGGAACAGTGCTGGGCCTGTTCTTCTCATTGCACTCTCATTGCTTCCCTTCTCACTGTACCTATCCTCACCAAACTCACCATCATGTGCATCCCAGAGTTAAACTGTTATTCCCATTTCTGTGACCGTCTTAATTTCAGTACAAGGGAGTAGGGATGATGTACACAGCTAGAAAGTCTGGGCTAAGATTATAAATAACTTTTAAAATCCACACATCACAAGAACGAAATGGAGTTTGCATAATCCATTAACCTCAATAATTATAATCTGTCACTTCCAGGCTGCCACATGATTCAATCAGTGCTAAAGGTGGGGATTTATTGGCTATATTCCATTTGTATGACCAATATCTCGATTTTTATAAACTTGCCTGTCAGAAAATATTAGATACTCAATCTCACTCCACATTCTCTATAATTTTCTAAACATGGGATCTCTAGTGACCATGAGCCTGAGTTATTGAGCCCTGGGCCATTGATAGATGCTGAGATCAGGAACTGCTAAGTGTCAATCTAATCAAAGCATGTCAACCAGATGCTGTGTGAGTCTGTGACTTATTCACTGCGACTCTGATCTTCCCCTCACAAGCTGGTCAGCTTCCCAACGGTCTCCTTTTGCTATAACGCTTAGCTAATGAATGCATGAATTCTGAAATTCAGTATGTCCTGAGATTTATGAAAGCCCATGCAGTTAGTTACTTTGACCCTTCTCATTGTATAAAGCTATTTTCCAGATCCATCTTCCCCTTTCCTATGCTTGCTGCTCCAATCACAGACTGCCCCTCTCCAGCTATTTGGGGTTCAGTGTTTAACTCTGCTAGAGTTTGTTGTAGAAAGTCTTGTTTATTTCAGTGAGCTATTTATTCCTGATTGCTATCCACTCACATACCTTAAAGACACAATGTTCCTTTTAAGTCTAATGTTCCTAACCAATTTCAGTCAGCTAATTTATGAACACTGTTTATGTAACTTTATCTCATAGAAACCTACAATTTCTTAGTCTTCTACTTCTAACTATAGCAGTTAAATGCATGATGCTGTGGTGTTTCCTATCTATGCAGATCCTTGAAAGTTCACAGACACTGCTGACTGTTCTGAAACGAGAAGCAGGGACCCTGAATCAAGTCCATGAAAGTAGCGACACCAAGGACTCCTGACCTTTTTTAAAATCACTTGGCTTCAGAGGAGCAGTTAGCACGAAGAGATGGAATCTGAGATAGTTATTTACTATGTAACAGTGAGAAACAAATTCTGGATCACTTATAAACAATTTCAAATTCTAGTAACATTGATCACCAAACTTGAATTTATTTTATTTTGTAATAAAATTTTATAAGTATGACCAACTTGGTTATCTTTATTATATTATTGGAGGATGAATGGTAAACCTACCAGCAATGGACTGATTTTCCTGTCTTGTACTGTTATGAGGGAGGGTAGCCCCCACATCTCTGAAGTAGTTGTAATTTTTCATTTTTCTGTATTTTAGATTGTGGATTGGAATGGGAAATAACCTGCTTTAAAAGCAAACAACCTGATGTTCATTGTAAATGCTGCTTACACAACTTTGTTCAAGTGGCAGTCAAAGTTTCATTTGCAGTTAAGCCAAGGTGTATATGTAAATAGCTTTCATTGACAAGCACCTGCTCAGATTGTGAACTCATGACCAGTTATTGATGTCAAAGGCCTTTTACCTGCCAAAAACTGTAACTGACTTCCAGGTAGCTGAACAGCTTGAGATTGAATATTTTGTCAAACCATTTGTCCTTTGAGGAAAGGAGTTTATGCTCTGCAGGAAAAATCATCCGAAGCCTGAAGAATATTTCCTTTTCACATAGCTGTAACTGTGACTTAAAGGTCACTGATTTAATTAAAAGTGTCAACTAGTCACCCTATGTCTCCTGGAGAGTCAAGGAGCAGCAAATTCTGACAACCTTTGATGTTTTTTCCATACATGTATAGAAGGAGAGATTATAAACAGGATTATAGTTTTAAATAAATAATGTTGGACTGTTTATAAAAATTTATCCACAGTAGCAATTAAGTATAGAAAACTGGTTTGTTGCTTTGTTGACCTGGATCTAAGACAGGTAATACAGAATTTTCTGTACTTATCAAAATCAATTTTTTAACTCTGGGAATTTAATTTACATGATTTACAGCATACCAGCCAGGTGAGGTGTAACAGTATTTTAAGGGCTCTCAGTCCAGCTTGACCCTAGATTTACAAGCTACAATCAACATAATGGGGAGAGAAACAGCTGACATCAGTGGACCTAGTCTGTTCACTGGTGATGTTGCTGGAAAATATATTAATGCAGTTCTAACATATTTGAATCATCATCATCCAAATAATTTTCAGTCAGACAACATCATATAAATTCATAGCACGAGGTCATTTTGCCCATCATGTTTATACCACCTGAGAAAGTTCCACAACCAAATTTCACTTTACATCAAAATTTGTTTTAAAAATAATGAGTCTCTGCCTGTGCTGCCCATCAGACTGAGTTCTATAAGTCCATGTTATAGGAAATAGGTCCACCCTATCCACTAACAGGAAACAAATCTGTGCACCCATGTAATTAAATATTTACACTAAATTACAGTATTTGATAGGGTAAATAGCAAACATTTCTTTCTGACAGTGGGAAGTTCAAAACAAGCAAGTGTACAATTATTATAATGTTAAGCATGGACCAAATATTGACTTGACCACAATGAGACAGTAAACTAGCTGCACAGAAATTAGATAGTAAAAACAGATGTCAAGAAATTTCTAGGAGATAACAAGGTGTAGAGCTGGATGAACACAGCAGGCCAAGCAGCATCAGAGGAGCAGGAAAGCTGACGTTTCAGGTTGAAATTCTTCATTTCTGAAGGGTCTCAACCCGAAACGTCAGCTTTATCTCAGATTATTATCTCAGATTCTCCAGCATCGGCAGTTCCTACTATCTCTCTCAAGAAATTTATATCTTATTTAATTCACAAGCATGAGCTCACACTAGGAGATGAAAGGTTGCCTACAAACATTCAACTTGGAAAGACAATGAAGTTGGACTCAGATACGTAACAGACAAGAACTCAAACTAAATTTGCTTTCATCTGTGTATTTTTCTATGTTAGATGATCTTCTTTTACTCAAGGAAAGTTTGTTAATTGCTCCTTCATTTTCTAGTGAATTACATTTTAATAAAAATATTTGGTGCACCTGTTTGTAACAAGATGTACAGGCTCAAAGAGCAGAATGGTCTGTTTCTATCCAGAGTACTTAATTACATTGCAATTTCACACAAAAACGGTTTGCCAGTGTATCTTTTTATTTTTTTTTAAATTGACAGTTGATGATGTCTGCAAACATACAGTCAATATATCTACAACCAAAAATAAGAAGTCTATCAAAATCTGCATTACGTATCACACTAGAGAACAAGTCTTCAGCTGACTGCTGTATGTCCATCACTATACAAAGCTGTATTTTTTTAAAAAACAACATGCATTTCTAAGACATGCAACAAAGGTGAATGTTACAAAAAAGGGCAATGCATTTGGCCACGTGACTGAATGCTGGCGAGTTTCAGGTTCTTTCCATTTAGTTCAACCTCTAAGTGCAAAATTCTATAGTGCATATGCAATTATTAAATATTTCCTGTGCCTGGAATCTATTCCAACCATAATGCAATGCCTTGTACTGCCAGGAATTTTCAAAAGAAGGTTGGTGCGTACTCACTTAAAGCTCATGGCCTCACCTTGACTTACTAATAGTATCTGGTGTCACAGAATGGTTCATGTTAACAGGCATGGAAGACTTGATTCACAAGTGTTTCAGTCATGAATAGAAGTTTGCATCACTGCAAAGGCTGCAAGACTCTCCTCCCTGGATACTGTTATGCTGTCACTGAAAGTGAAGGAGTGTTACAAAGTGCAGCAAACAGTTTCTTCCAGATACTAAAGTCCTACCTCTGCATTAACATATGTACTCAGCAATTGATGACCATGTGGAGGTTCAGGAAAAGTGCATTATTAATAAATAGAAAGTGGAAATGCACAGTAGTCTGATCAGCATCTAGAGAGAATCATGCATCAACAGTTTAGATACAAACCTTTGGCTGAAATGATTTCTGACCAAGGTACTATACCCAAAAGTTTAGCCTGTTTTTTTTTCCCCCCCCTTTCTCAGTGGTAGCAAACCTGCTGCTTGTTATCAATTTACTCAATTGCACAGTCACAAAACCTGCTGGTGAATAATAAGACAAGGGAAGGGGCACGCGAGAGGTAGTTGGCCTACAACAGACAATGTTTGCCTAGGAGCAAGGTGATTACCACAAAAGTGAAGGTGCATTCTAAATTTCAGACCTTACTCGAAAAATAATGCACATAGATTGCAACTCAGCAATGTAAATGGGATTCTTTTGCCATTAAAAAGTGGGTCAATTTGGTAAAATTATTAAGCACAAGTATGATAAATACACTGGCTCAACTGCAATCTTAGACTTACACAGGATCAGCCTCCATCTTTATTCATCCCATGGGAGATGGTTCCTCAAAAATAGGTACGGTACACACATGTGGAAAGGAAACGGAGCTAAAACTACTTGAAAATCATTCCTATTTCCGGCAAACAGTAAGAATCTTAAATCACCTTCACGGAGAGAAGTCGAAGGGGGTTATAACCTGCTGTGTCTTGTCTGCAGATTTCTATTGAATATGAGTAAAGGGTTGAAACAGTGACATTCCTGACGTTAAAAGAAACATCAAACTGCAGGCAGACACAATCAAGGCAAATTGTATTCATAATATTTTACTGGAGTGTATACAGACTTAATTTAGTTGTCGGGACATTTCTCCCGACACATTCAATGCTCCATTTCTCTCCTGATCTAACCCAATTTTCTGATTAGAACTTGATATATTCTAAAACAGTAAAAAAAAAAAACACCCTCAACTACAAAATTCTACCTCATCAGAATAGAAAATACATTGCCTTATTAATAAGGGTATTATGTTGCTCTCATTTTCTATGGATCAACCAGTTGCAGAACATCTCCACTTTTAAGCAATCTGAAAGGGGTGAAACAGCAATCAACAGATTCCCACAAACCTAATTCTACACCTTTAAATCCACCTTTTTCCTCCACTCCGTCATCTTCACTTGGAACTAATTTAAGATCCAAAGACAAAATATAATGTACACAATTCAGCCAATACAAATGGTGCCTTCAGTGTGATTAGAGTAAACAATGTTCTTTCTGACATCGTCTGATTTCTGATCTTGTCCACCCCAGTCCGACACCAGCACCTCCACATCTTTCTGACTTGTTCCAGTAAAGCAAATAGGCACTGCTGGATCAGAATTACGATGAACAGCAACCGCTTCCCAGCTCTAACACGACCAAGATAAAACACTGAAGAACAGCTCCAAAATAATGCTTGGATTGTTTTACTCCACAATGGGGACTACAGTAGAATGTTCTGTGGATATAGTGCATTGCATTGTCCAAATATAAATGGGTCACAGCAGAATTTTTGTATTTGCCTATGCTAACAATGAAAGCAATGTGTATGTTTAAATCCTAATTGAGTGGTGAATGTTCCAAACTATGTTAAGTAAACTCATTGGTATTAATAAATGTTCTATGTGAAGGTGACCTAATGTTCAACATTTAGGCCAAGTAGCTGCACAAAGACAGAAGGAAAGGCTTTGTGCTTAATCACTGGCCATTTGAAACCAGGTGAAAGTTTAATATCTGATAGGCTCAGCCTAAGGCACCAACAGGCTTTCAGATAAGTGTGATGGCTGTATAAACAAAAACCTCATTTCACTCACTCTCACTGTTCCCTATGTAGGTACTGCTTTTCACAATTCTAGCTGCCCACTGAATACATGGCACAAAATACATTTCACAAAGAGGATCTGTCAAATTCCTGTCTCTGAACTCTGGGAGGAGTTTAGCGTTCTCATAGTTCACACTCAAACAGCCCTCCATTCAGCTCGACCTCACCAGGAGGCTCGAAAGTCAGAGTGCCAGGATAGCTACAATATTAGAGAAACAGAAATGAAAACGGTTAGAGTCCTGAGGACACCCAGTGATCAGGACCACCACCAGTAAAAACTGTGGCACAGTAGAAATAACAGAACTATTTAACAGTACAGTATCCAAAGTACATTATTATAAATGGGAGTGTTGCTTGAACACAGTCAAATCCTGAAAACATGGCCCAGGGCCTGGCCCTCACATAGGCCCAATACTCTTAAGGAAAAAGGTGGCCAAGACCAAAGCACAGGTTAATACAGCTCTTCTCAGAGGAATGATCATTCTCATCTGCACAGGCTTCAGCGTCCATGGCAGTGTTCAGAAATTTTTTAGGAATGTAGGTCACAGCCCTTTGAGGGCAAGTGCAATTAGTAAACTTGATGTGCAGGCAACCGGTCTCAGAATCTCAAAGCTGCCACATAAATGCTTCGTGGATCTCACATGATTCTCAAGACTGGTCTCCTCAGAGGCAAAGGAGAAATGAAAGATCAACTTGCCTCAAGACAAACTTCAATCCTTAGATATGGCCCAAGATGTCTGCAGTAAAGGGATGAGCTTTTCAAAGAACAGCTAGCTACATTTCAGATGGCACATAGCTGGCTTTTTCCAGTCCAGGATTCCTGGTAAGCCAATCCCAAGGTTGGAGTGCACAGTTACAATTCCTAGATCACATCTCCGTCAGAAATATAGCGCTGGCTCACTGCTATAATCGGAATGAGAACTGCCATCTGCTGGCGTGAGCTGAGGAGAAAATGAGAAACGTGAGTATTTAAGCATGATTAAATACATGATAACACATTAACCATGGTTATATCTCAGAGTTAGCCTGCTTTTGATTTACTTTGTACCCATCTACCACCTTTGACAATGCAATAATTTAAGGACTTTAGGCTTCATATTGCAATAATTGCAGTTAAAGTAGTATCAAATTGTGACTTCTAATATTTGATTTTAATACCTGGGATATTTCATGGACTAAAATGATATTCATAAGGGAAATAAATGCTGAATTATGACGCCCGAAGAGATCAGCTGATCAATGGTTCAGGCAGTTCATAAAGCCATAAAGTATCAAGATGACTGAAATACAATTTAAGAAATAGCCATTCACTTAGAACTCAAAGATATACAAATTCTGCCACAATGAATAAACTTGGCCTCAGGTTAAAAGCTAATTCGAGGACATTTCCCACCACACCGCAACCCCCAAATTGTCCATTTGTGATCTTTGTTTTCATACTCGGCACTTCTCTTTTTAAACTCTGCACCTACATTTTTGCATGTGACTGATTTTACATCTTACTGTTTTCTTAAGTAAACAAGCAATAAAATTCAGAAGTTGCTGGAAAAGCTCAGTGGGTCTGGCAGCATCTGTGAAAAAAAAAATCAGAGTTAATGTTTTGGGTC